AACACTTCTACACTGCTGGTGGGAATGCAAATTAATACATTCATTTTGGAAAGACATCTGAAGAACACTTAGAGAACTAAAAATAGACCTGCCATTGGATCCTACAATTCCATTATTAGATATATACCCAGAAGATAAAAAATCACATTACAACAAAGATGTTTGTATCAGAATGTTTATTACAGCCCAATTCATAATTGCCAGATCATGGAAGAAGCCCAAGTGCCCATCAATCCACGAATGGATCAATAAACTGTGGTATATGTACATCATGGAATACTATGCAGACCTAAAGAAAAACGAAGACTTTACCTCCTTCATGTTTACATGGATGGAACTGGAAAATGTTCTTCTTAGCAAAGTATCACAGGAATGGAAGAAAAAGTATCCAATGTACACAGCCCTTTTATGAAACTAATTCATAGCTCTCAAATGAAAGATACAACTTAATTCTAGCCCAAGAACATGGGGAGGGGATAGGGAAGGGGAAGGGAAAAGGGCGGCTGGGTGGTGGGATGGTGACCAGAAAGATCACCTATATATCTGTCTAACAAGGGTACAAGTGAACTTTTCTAGAACTAGAATATAAATGTTTTGACACAATGACTAAGCAAATGACATGAAATCTATGTTAACCAGCTTAATGAAAGTATTTCAAATTGTATATGAAAACACTACACTGTATTCCATGTTTGCATTAATGTATGCAGCTATCATTTAATAAAAAAAAAGGAAGAAGAAGACAGATGCATGGCCTACAGACATATGAAAAAATGCTCATCATCCTTAATCATCAGAGAAATGCAAATCAAAACTACTTTAAGATATCATCTAACTCCAGTAAGAGTAGCACACATCACAAAATCCGAAAACCAGAGATGTTAGTGTGGATGTGGAGAAAAGGGAACACTTTAACACTACTGGTGGGAATGCAAACTAGTATGTTCCTTTTGGAAAGATGTTTGGAGAACACTTAGGGATCAAAAAATAGACCTGGCATTTGATCCTACAATTCTTCTACTAAGTATATATCCAGAAGACCAAAAATCACATTAAAACAAAGATATTTGTACCAGAATGTTTATTGCAGCCCAACTCATAATTGCTAAGTCATGGAAAAAGCCCAAGTGCCCATCAACCCACGAATGGATTAATAAATTATAGTATATAGTATATGTACACTATGGAATATTAAGCAACCTTAAAGAAAGATGGAGACTTTACCTCCTTCATGTTTACATGGATGGAGCTGGAACATATTCTTCTTAGAAAAATATCTTAACAATGGAAGAAAAAATATTCAATGTACTCAGCCCTACTATGAAACCAATCTATAGCTTTCATATGAAAGCTATAATCCAATTATAGCTCAAGAAGATGGGGAAAGGGTAGAAGGAAGGGATGGGAAGGGGAGGATGGGTGGAGGGAGGGTATTTGGTGGGACCACAACTATGGTGCATCTTACAAGGGTACATGTGAAATTTAGTAAATGTAGAATATAAATGTATTAACATAATTACTGAGAAAAATGCCATGAAGGCTATGTTCAGGTTGATGAAAATATTGCAAATTGTATATAAAACCAGCACATTGTACCCCATGATTGCATTAATGTACACAACTATGATTTAATTAAAAAAAAATCATAGTTAGCAATTCCAGGTAGGGTTCTCAAACATCTCCAAAAGAATTCTGGTTATTAATAAGGACAAGTGAGGAATAAAAGCAATCAAAAGAAATATGATAATTGGCTTGGCTGCTGTGGCTCAAGTAGCTAAGGCACCAACCACATACACCTAAGCTGGCGGGTTAGAATCTAGCCCGGGTCTGCCAAAGAACAATGATGGCTACAACCCCCTCCTCCCCAAAAAAGATAGCTGGGTGTTGTGGTGGGTGCCTGTAGTCCCAGCTACTTGGGAGATGGAGGTAGGAGACTCACTTGAGCCCAGGAGTTGGAGGTTGCCATGAGCTGTGATGCCATAGCACTCTACCTAGGGTGACAGCTTGAGGCTCTGTCTAAAAAAAAAAAAAAAAAAAATGATAGTTGTCCAGCTAAATCAAATAGATATTTTATCTGGACTCATTAAAATATTCACTTTTAATATGAAGGTTTTAGTATAATACATATAGAATAATATATAAATATATGAATTTCTGAATGATATTTTAAGTAGACATAAAACTTGATTGAAGAAAGTGACAACTTTCTAAATGCTTAGGAATGAAGTTTAGGAATGAAGAAGAGAATCAGGATTAAGATGGTTAATACCAGGCGGTGCCTGTGGCTCAGTGGGTAGGGTGCTGCCCCCATATAACAAGGGTGGTGGGTTTGAACCCAGCCCCAGCCAAACTGAAAAAAAAAAAATAGCCAGGCATTGTGGTAGGCACCTATAGTCCCAGCTACTTGGGAGGCTGAGGCAGGAGAATTGCCTAAGCCCAGGAGTTGGAGATTGCTGTGAGCTGTAACACCACAGCACTCTACCAAGGTCAATAAACTGAGACTCTGTCTCAAAAAAAAAAAAAAAAAAAAAAAAGATGGTCAATATCAGGTTTAAGGATTGGTAAAACTGAAGAAAAGCACTGACAGGTAAGCAATCTATGAACAAAGAGGAATCTCTACAAAGCCCAAGTATCAACTCCAACATGTATTGTTTGCTAAAGAAAAGAACCCTCAGATTTATACCTGGTTTCAAAGGCAAACATGCTAACTGAAATCAGGCAGTATTTATGGCTAATAAGCAATGATAGAATTTTATTCACAGGGATACACCACCTATGATCATTTCCATATTCACCTCAGTTGAATGATGTATATTTGATACTATACTATTGATTTTTTAAAATTGTTTTAAGTGGCTAAAAGGCAGACTAGCAGGAATAGAATTATTCAATTGACACCAGTTTCTTTGAAGTGTTGACTAGATAGTGTGTACACTCAAAAGATTTGGGGTTAAGTTAAATTAACTTTCCTTTCTTTAACAGTTTCACAAGTGCTCTGGATACCTCCTTGTTGCGGAGACTGTAGATGAGAGGGTTCAGCATGGGGGTGAGAATGGTGTAGAAGGCTGACACAAACTTGTCCTCATCTGGTGTATGGTTAGAGGCTGGTCTCATGTACATGAACATGGCAGCACCATAGTAGAGTACAACAACAGACAGGTGGGAGGAGCATGTGGTGAACGCTTTGCGGCGACTTTTCCCAGAGCCCATATAGATGACAGCTTGAAGAACATGGGCATAGGAAATGATGATAACTGAGACTGGGAAAATTAGCATCACCACACAACAGATGAAAAGTAGTCTTTCAAATGCAGATGTGTCTGTGCAGGACAGAGGTAAAAGGGCAGATACATCACAAAAAAAGTGATGAATTTCCAGAGATCTGCAGTAAGAGAATGACAAGGCAGCTGCAAGCACAATGATGCCATCAAGAAAACCCAAAGTCCAGGAAGCAACAGTCATGAAGGCACAGTGTTTTGGATTCATGAGAATGGCATACCGAAGAGGGTGACATATAGCCACATAGCGATCATAAGCCATGACAGCCAACAAGAAACATTCAGCTCCAAGAAGGGACACATAGAAGAATATCTGTGTTCCACAACCAGCCAGCGAGATGGACTTCCTGCCAGACAAGTAGTTGAAAGCCATCTTGGGTACAGTGGTGCAGATGAGCATGAGGTCCATGAGGGACAGTTGGCTGAGGAGGAAGTACATGGGGGTGTGGAGCTGCATGTCCAGGTAGATGAGGAGAACCATGGCAATATTTCCCATGAAGGCCACTACGAAGATGCCCTGGACCAAACAGAAGAGGAAGGTGTGTGTGGGGCTGTAGTCAAAAATTCCCAGCAAGATGAAAACGGAGTTGAAGGTCTGGTTTCCCCACATCATCCTGGATAGTGTGCCTAATCTGGAAATTCCAGAAAAGACATAAGCTAATTTATTAATTCAGTTTTCAAATTAACACTGCAGCAGGGCCCTGCACCACGCAGTTTACATAACCCATATGTAAGATCTTCTAACTAAACTTCAGTTACCTGCCTTAGGTCAGAGTAAATTCTACAACTTAGCCCAGAACTTTTACACTTTCTTTCTCATCCATACTTCACAGAAAATAACTTAATTATCTTCTTTATTTTACAGTGAAAAACACAAAAGTTTTTATGGACTTAGTGACCTACCCTCAGGTACAAACAATAGAGAACCTAGGAGAAAAATAATTACAAATCTCTGTGGCTAAATTTTATATTCATCCCTGATCACAGGGAATTCCTAACTGAACTTTTTCTCCTTTTGTCCCTGTATATCTCCATGTTGGTAGTCTCTTCAAAAATAAAATTCTTGCCCCTCTACCATCCTACCCCCAGACCAAAAAAAGGCAACATGAGATCAACGACATTACCTCTTTGGGACACTTGGACACTTTAATTCAGAAAAAGTTTTAATACCCTACATTTTAACTTTTCCATCTCAGACCAAACCTTGGAATCTTTTGATAATAATTCTGTTTCTTCTAATTCTGTGTGGTGAAAGGGGATGGCGTCTTTCTCTCTCTCTCTCTCTCTCCCTTCCTTTCTGCATTCCTCTCTCTCTCTCTCCCTCCCTCCCATCTTCTTTCCTTCTTTCCATTGATTTCTTGTTTTTTTGTTTACATTTTTATTTTTTTTAGTTGACATCTTGTCACTGTACATATTTATGGGGTACAATTTGATTTTTGATTCATATGTATCTTGTGTAATGATCAAATTAGGATATCTAACATGATCACCATCTCATGCATTCATCATTTCTTTGTGGTGAGGATATTCAAAAGCCTTCATTTGTATTTTTTAGAAATTAATTTATTTATGCTACAATAAAATGTTATGAAATTAAATCAGATAAGCATTTAGGGGGCCAAAGAGAACCCATCCTGTGGTCTTTAAAACGTTCACTAGAATGTGCTATTTGGGGGTCTTTGGGGGCTTATTTAAGGACTGTGAGTAAAGGTTAAGCTGTATGAAGTACCTGGCTCATCCAGGTTCAACGTGAGCAGAGCCCAGGATGTAGTTGTGTGGGGCAGGGAGCACTGCAAGAAATGAGTCTAAAGTGTACAGAATTAGATTATATAAAATATACTTTAATTTCAAGCAAATATCAAAGAGGTATTTTAAGCAGTGAAGATGTGTAATGATGTGAAATGATGTTGCATTGAGCAAACTCTGGGGTTTGAACATATGGTGCATTGGATGGGTTAAATCTGTGAGCATGGAGATCAGGAAGCAAATAATCTTCAGTCCCTAGGGGAGCCTGGGTAAAGCCTAGGCAATGACATTGGAGGAAAGAGACAGCTGGTGTAAAATAAAATCAGCCATCAATCTTTGTAAAAGTCTATTATTTATTATAGTCCCCAGTTTTTTAACCATGCCTCTAATACTCTAAAACAAAATTCAATCCAAAGCAAGACTCACTTTTATTTCTACCTGATATATATCTCTGCCCCCAGAGATGTATGTAAGTAACACAAAAAATGATATGGGTTTATTAGTTTTCACAAATTAAAATGTTATATTGACCTCCTAAGAGAAAATTTACATTTTCAGTTCCAACATTTAGACATGGAAGAGTGCCTTAAAGAACAAGATATGCCAAATATTAAAACTAGAGAATAACTCCTCAGTAAGTAGCAAATTTATTTCTTTGTATGAATACTATGTACTAGGGTACTTTCATTTATTTGAATCCTTTAGCTGTGTTGAAAGCATCCAAATTGTCTGCAACAAGAATATATAAAAATATTGATACTCTCAAAATGAATACCAAATACAGTCTTATTCAAAAGATAGTCAACAAAAAGAATCAGCAGCATTTCTTTGTTCCCCTTATTTTAAAAATAATATTGTGTCACAATATCACATGAAGTTTAAAATTCTCACATTGCCAGATTTATTTTGATCCTTCTATATGACTGTTTGTCAATTATTAGAAAATGGAGAAGACTGTAGGAAATGTTAGAAGATACCTTTGAAGAAGTGACTTAATGACAGGAAAAATTAATTATATGGAAGAGAGGTAAGGGACATGACAAAAATGAGTGCCAAAATAAAGCTAAAAACAGAAAGGAAAATAAAAAAAATAAGATTGAGTGTAAAAGCCTTCAGATAATCATAGATTTTGAAATACTGAGATTGGAGGAAGAACAAAATAAATCCTGAAGAGAGATATGAGTGGGAACAGTGTCTTGGGGAGGATGCCCAACACACTGGGTTCAGCCTTTCCCTAGACTTAGTAATTTTGACTAACCTGAAGATTTCCATCCACATATTCCAGCGCCTGCAATACATGTATGTCAGATTTTAGGAAAGCCTCAAACACTGTGTAATTCAACTAAATTGAACTTCCCTGATTTTTTCCTTTCTTCATCTTTATGACACTAATTGCTAGAATTTTATGAATTAGTGTGTTTGGTGGAGAATTGTGAAGATAAATTAAAAAAAAAAAAACTGGGCTCTTTGAGGGAAGGCAAATCACTTCCCTGATAATTTATACAGTAAAAACTTGCATCAGATGGTATATAAGGATTGCTTTAGAGCTAAATCTTTATGACTGTTATTAAGCTGAATCCATGGGTTTTGTGATTGGTTCTATAAACTCATTTTTAGGTGTATACCTGAAGATATTTATATTTATCATAAAGGCTTTAATAATTCTTAAAATATAATTTAAAATATTTTAACCATCCAGAAGAACATGTTTCTTGTCTCTTTACTCCCATGAAAAAGAAAAGAGCCCAGGATTTATGGGGAATGATGTCTTTGTCACAGTATTGTGAAAAATACATATAATATGATGAATTCATAAAATAAATGCAATAATTATAATAATCAGGCTGAGGAAGACTTATACTTATACAATCCTATATTGTATTCCAAATATACATATATATGTGTGTCTGTATGTGAGTGTGTATTTATACTTATAATATGATGAATTCATAAAATAAATTATATATGTATTATATGTAAAATATATATGTATATTATATATATTTAAATATTTTAAATGCATTTTATATATATTCTTATGATTTTCCTTGCCAAAGTCATATAAAGTTAGCAGGGGAGATAATAGATTTAAAAATTATAAAGAAAGAAAGAAAAAAGAATTTATCATACTTAAACTCACATGTAGTGGTCAAGGTACAGATTCACCCAATAAATTCTAGCTTCTCTGTACTCTGGAATATAATAATCTTCCTCTGATCTGAGCTGTAGCACCACTTTTCCTTCACTCCCTTCTAGAAAAGATTCATAAGCAGCTGCTCAGAAAGTCCACATGAGCCACATTACCAAAGACCTATCCATCTCATAGTATTGTGGACCTTAAATCCTATACCTCCACAGAGTTAGGTCCCTTGACTTCAATTATACCATATGACAAGTCCCTTTTCAGAGCTCTCCTAGGAAACATTTACCTTGGAGCTTCTGAGTTTGAAAACATTTTGGTTCTTTATAAACCTAGCTGACCTATTAAAAGATTGTTAAAATGTAACAAAGTCTGCTCATCAAAAGTATAAAAGAGTAGTTAAATAGCATGGCATTATTTTAATTGATGAAATTGTTTTTTATGTCAAAACTCTCTTCAAATATAAATTTGTTTTATGTTTAGAAATATCTTTTGAAGGAAAAGCTAAGTAGGACTTAATTTAGACATTGACTAAGAATATATTTTGAAATAAGCCTTCTGTTATTTTTTAATATGTACATAGTCTTATTCAATCATTCAAACAGCAGGCACATGATACACATAAAATTATCTCTATGTTACCAACAATCAAATGAGAGGTGATGAATAAGCAATTACTAAATATATGCAGTTTATAAGGTAATTTTGTGTGAATCATGTGTCTGCTATTTGAATTATTTACTAAATAAGTCAAATTATTCAAATAATTCAAATCATATGTCTGCTATCTGAATTATTTACTAAATAATTTATTTAGTAAATTGCTAAATATACATGCCTTATTGCAGGTATATCTAAACTTTGATTCTGAAAGCAAATGAAAGTACCATAGAAAAGTGTATGTGCATATGCATGTATATATATAATATATTATACTGTATATATTGTATATACTATATTGTAAATACTGTATATAATATATATATATATATAATAGTATATATATGCTGTGAAATACTATCCAGCCATGAGGGATACTTTATTTATTTACTTAAATGGATTTGGAGAACATCCTCCTAAGTAAAGCATCTCAGAAATGGAAAAGCAAGCATCCAATGTGCTCAATACTAATAGGAAACTAGTAGATGAACAACTACACACCCATGTGAGAGAAAAACAAAATGAATTTCAAGAAGGGGGCAGGGTGAGAGAAAAGGAGAAGGGAGCAAGAGGGAAGAGGTTTGGTAAGCTCTCACCCAACTGGGACAATGTAGGGGTATATGGCACACCTCCTAGATCTAAGGCTCAACTGTAACTTGGACTTTACCTAAAAAATATAAACAATGCTCTGGTTTCTCTTCAGATTGTATAAGTGTTTCTCCTTTTAAAAACACAAACAATGTAATCTAATTGTATGTACCCTCATATTAATATGAAGTTAAAATATACATATATATATATGAAAGCAATTATGTAATATGTTATATATATATATGTTTGGGTGCATTGACTATTCTTTCAGTTTTTGGCTGGGGCTGGGTTTGAACCCACCACCTCTGGTATATGGGGCCAGTGCCCTACTCCTTTGAGCCACAGGTGCTGCTGACATTGAATATTCTTATTGAAAATATTAGATGCTTACACACATATATTATACAATTAATTATATTTATATCATGCAATAGTATATAAAATTAACTTAATTTTGATTAATCAATTGTATGAAA